ACACAGTTTCGCAAGGCTTAATACAGTCAGACCTTCTTTTCTGCTAACCTCAGCCTTTTCCTCACCATATTGATCAAAGAAACAAGATCACAGAAAGCCCAAGTATAATCCGGCGCACTCTTCCAAAAAGGCTCCGAGCCCCTCTGAGCTTGTTGCTGCACAGCCGATTCCTCTTTGCAAAGACGTTAAGCCCTGTCATGTGCAAATCATTAAGAAGTCGTTCCAGGAAAGTTTGCCCAGAGGTGGGGAGAAAAATCCCGTCAAGGTAAAACTCATGCACTCGCTAATAGGTGAGCTGTGTGTGGTAGAGCTTGGGGGTGGAGGAGAACCCTTTGAAAAGAGGGATTTCAGGACGCAGAACCCTGGCTTCACTGCCCGTTCACGTGGGAAACCACAGCTTCCATCTCACTTCCGGCACAGGCGGGCTTCCAACCTAAATGCAGGGGTCACCACCAACCAGTTGGAGGGGGCTGTTACCCCTTCAATAGAGTTGATGGGTGTTACCTCGGATTCTCTTTTCAATAAGAATAAAAACCAAACTCACCCCCATCTACCTAGTGCATGCTGACTCATGGCGACCCTACAGGACAGGGTAGAATTGCCCCCGTGGGCTTCCAAGATTGCAGCTCTAGTTCTGCGTTCCTTTACTAAGACTGCAACTCCTTCTGGGAGGAGAAAGCGCCGTCTTTCTCCCGAGGAGCTGCTGGTGGTTTCAAGCTGCTGCCCATGCAGATTGCAGCCCAACTCATAACCACTACGCAACCCGGGTGCCTGCTCTTTCAGAGTGCACCAAGGTAGTCTTATCTTTTCCACAGGAAGCCCACCACTTGACATGAGCACGGGGTACCTCTCTTCACGTCTCTCTCTCGATGGTTCTCCTCCCCCGACACACAATGCTCACGGGCTGTAGGAGAGTCGCTTAAACACGCCTGCTTTTAACAGACTGGGAGACGGTGCGCAGTTTGAAAGGCCTGTGAGGAAATGAGGAAGCTGGAGGGAACCCTCTTTCCTTCCATTTGTTAAAAATAAGCTTTAAGTCCCCCCACCCTCCCCAAAGCTTCTAGTCACACGGAAACCAAAACATAGTTCTTAGGATCAGGCAAGGCACACTGAGCTCTGAAGTCACTGGTTTATAGCTGCAATAGGCGCAGACAGTGTGTGCCTGATCTGTGGGGACAGGAAAAGAGGAATCAAATGACCTCTGCTTCATTCCACCTTCATCCCCAACACATACCACGCTGACCCGAACCAAACAGCCCACTGCCATCAAGCAGGTGCAGACTCAGAGACTCTGACAAAAGGCAATTTTCTCCCTGGGGGTTAAGAACGGTCAAATCCTATCTGATGTAATTTTCTACTTTTCAATGGTAAAAAAAGCAAGCGGATACCTTCATGGGCTACACATTGAACTGCTAATTACAAGGTCAGTGGTTCAAGCCCATCAGCTTCTCCAAGGAAGAAAGATGAAGCTCCGGTAGAGTCTTGGAAACCCCAAGGGGCACTTCTGCTTTGTGTGACAGGGTGGCATCAACTCCATGGCAGTGGGTTTAGATTTTTTTTTTTAAGCTGTAAAAATGGCATGGCGTCTGGCTGCCTCGGACTTCACAAGGGGCAGACAGAACCATCTGATTCCTGGGAGGCTGAGGTGAGACATGCCCTCAGCCTCCTAGAGTCTTCTCCACCTATTCTGGCACCGGCCAGCCCTCCCAGGGCACTCCCTCCCTCTCCTGCTGGGGTTAAAGCACTTCCTGATCAAGAGTAAAGTCGTACACCTTTAAGGACGACAACTTAACAAAACAAAACAAAAATCATCACAAGTGGACCAAAAGACATCATGATCTATGGAGATTGAAGCAGTCAGGGATTTCATGCTATGTGGCTCCAGTCAGCACACACAGAAGCAGCAGTCAAGAAACCAAATGACCTAGTGCACTGGGCAAAGGTGCCGCACCAGACATCAAGAGCCACGACGTCACGTTGGACCGAAGCCGTGGTATTGCTGGTGGTCTCATGTGTATGTGAAAAGTGGACCACTAAGAAGGGAGACCGGGGAAGAATTGGTGCCCCTGAATTATGGGGCTGGGGAAGCATATTCCAGGTACCAAGGACTGCAGAAGGACAGACATGTCTTGCTGCTTCCGGGAGTGTTGACTGTGGAGCCACGTAGCATGAAATCCTTGAGTTTCAATTTTCTTTCCACAGATGATGTCTTTTGGTTCAGTTGTGAGTTTTGTTTTCTTCACATTAAAGAAATGCAACTTAGAATTGAGGCTGGGGAGATTTTGTCTCGGACATGTTATCAGGAGAGCCCAGTCCTAGGAAAAGGGAGGCATGGCAGAGGCTCAGCAAATAAGATAGAGAGCTTTATCTAGATGGACACAATGGTTGCACAGTTGTGAGGATGGCGCAGGACTGGGCTGTAGGGTTTCTGTGGAGCCAACTCGAGGACTCCTTACAATGAAAATCCATTGCAGTGGGCCGATAGGGCTCCCAGACCATACTCGTGATTATGGGCTTAGGGAGGGACAGATGCCAATTCAGGATCATGTATGTTTAGGAAGGCAGTTCCTTGGTCAGGACACTGGTTTTACCCTTAAGTGGGGCTCCACTGACTCTGTCCCCTGCCCGCTCAAGCATTACTATAAAGCAGTTAGCCCAAAGAATACTAAACTCATTAAGTCTCAACCCAAAGGTGCTTGCTCTAGTTCTTTGGGTCAGCAAACCTAGGTTTCCAATTAAGTGCCGGGGGGGTTCCCCACTCTCTAAGCAAGCTTCCTGCCTAAAAGCTCCTTTTGACTCATTGTGGACCAGAAAGCTCTGCTGCTGCCTGGATCTAGGAGGTGCAGCACACAGGGATTGAGTTCAAAGGACTCACCCCATTCCTACTTCTTTCTTGATGGTAGTGAGATCCCCTCTCCTGCTTCTGAAGTGTCTCCTTGTATCCCCAGGTGGATGGCAAAAATGACTAATCCCATTAGAGTTGTACGATCTCAGTTGAAATTTGCCCTGTTAACATATACTCACAACCGAACTGTGTGATTTTATCAGCATCTTCTCACCGTCTATCATCGAGACCCACCAGGAAGAGGAAATAAAGCCCATCTGTATTGTCCCACTACATTTGGTAGGAGTTACAGCCTGCAGCTAGAAGTAATTCACTGCTCCACATAAGCCAATTGCCTAGCACTCTAAATGTCCCTAGTGTGCCCTCTTGCTTGGAAAGGAACCGTCATCCTTAGAGACTTCCATGGCACAGACAATAAGCTACGATCTTGCGAGGAGTTTTTCAGCCACATCACTTGACAACTTCTCTGCCCCCTTTTCACGACGAGAATCTACCAAGGAGGCTGTTCCACTTGAGGGAAAGATGAAGCTCTCGGCCCAGCAATTCTTTATACCCGAGTAGTGTTTTCATCGGATAACTGAGTTGTCCCACTCGAAAATGGGAGGAAGGCGGCACACATTTATGCAGTGTCGTCCCTGGCTCTCAGGACGGAAAGCTGAGGCAGAATGGAGTCATGGAGTACGCTGGCTCGAGAACACGCCTCCTGTGCCGGTGAACGGATTACAAACGAAGGCCTGCTTTAGAGAGTGGTCATCTCCACTCAAACGCATGCCAGGAGCACATTGATTTTTCAGCCTTTCCCCCCTTCCTTTAGAGACTGTCAACGCCATGGATACGGTCCTATTTCCCACCTGCCAAGGCAGGAATGATCCCCCTTTCCTTACGGAGCCCAAGATCGACCTGCAGACGCAGTGTGACTATCATGTAAAGAGCCAAATGTTCACAAGCGGCTTGTACAATTGAACTTAAGCAGTTAAGGTCGCAGTTGCAACCAAGAAGGGCTCCGTGCTTAAGTTTAAAATAGCTGTGATAGTCACTCCACCTGTCTTTGTCAGTTAAAATTGTATGCTTATTTTGCTTACAAATATTTAATGCATTAAAAACACGGAGACTTTTGTTTTCATTCTTTTCTTTTTATTATCACAGTTGGACCTTTTAAGAAACATATACCAATAGATAGACCACTACTGAGTAAAAATCTAACCTAGTTCTTGTGAAGCATACATGTGAGAAACTATCTTGCTTCTAGTCTCCAAGACTTTAACTACGAGTTTATCAAAAAGGCAGCTCTGATCTCTGGGATCCTGAGCCTTGAGGTTTTGTATGTTTTGATTATAAAACAATTTTAAGCGGACCAACTGAATTTCCAGCTGTTTTTCCTTCAGGAGTGGGCTAATCATTTTGAAGTTACTGCCTCTGTTACAAGAAGATCCCATTTCTTTAGGTTTGAGATCTACTTTGTCTTTGGAAAACTTGGTTAAAAAAAAAGTATTTTTTTACAATAAGGATACATTTACTGGAACATATTCAATATTACTTATAACAAAGGGTCTACTGTGTATCTCTGCTGTGTTCACGGTTTTGTATCTAGTCACTACTCTAACTACGGACACAGCTGCCACTTCCGGATCACTCCATCCAAGTACAGTCAGACTACAATTGCTCCTTACCACGACGCGTGGTATCTGAGATTCTGATTAAAAGTAAAAAAAGATGAGTGAACAAATACATCCACTCAAACATGGTGACAATTTCCAGAAGCTGCTCTTTTCAGTAGTAACCTGCAGAGGGGACTTTGAGGAAATGTTTAAAGCTATGGCTTTGGTGAGCACCAAGTGAGTCCCGAGAAGGCATTTGCAACAGGAGATTCTGCAGCATGGAAGGAGATTCTCTGGACGAGGCGGGCATTTTCTCAACTAAGATCCCACCGCCAGCCCCCAAGGCTTTCAGCAGCTGAGGGCAGGAACCCAACCCAAAGAATAGCTCCATCTTCACATCAGCTTGAGAAGGGTGACCATGCCATTAGGCCCACGGTGCTAAATGGTCTCAAAGCCTTTGGTGGTATGATATTGGTAAGAAGAAAATCAATGCACAAACCACGTAACACCATTAAAATTGGGAAATTAAAAAAAAGCATCATTTCATTAAAAAAAGGTGTTGGAAACAGAACCAGGAACCTTTATTCTTTTTTCTCATCTTCAGGCGCGGGCTCTGTTGGGGGCTCCTCCACGGCTGCGCCGTTGCTCTCCGAGCCGGTGTTACTGTCACTGGTTCCCTCCTCTGCCAGGCTGTCGACGCCCTCCTGCCCGCTCTCCTTATCCTCGGGGGTCGACGTGCCTTCCTCCCCATTCTGCTGGCTTTCTGGGGGCTCCTCAAGGTGGGTCTCCTCTGTAAGCACACATTTGTCACATCAGCTCCGAGACAAACAGGCACCCTTGCAGTTACGCTGCGAGTCTGGAGCTGACTGCCCGTTAAGACAGAACTAGCACAGGTGGGGTGGCACCAAGTCAGCCAGCGAGTGTGACGAGGCTCTTCTGGGCATGTCTGCGATCACATGGGGCACGTAAAACTACCGGTCACTGGTCCATTTTATGAAATCTACATACAGACCAAGCCTTTTTGCAGAAAATTTGGATTCCAAATTGAGATGTGCTTTAAGTAGAAAACACATGCTAACTTTTGAAGATTTCATATTTGAAAAAGAATGTTGGTTATCTCAACAATGTATTAAATGAAAAATAACTAAACAGTTCATCACAGGCTGAAATGGTACTATTTTGGACATACTGGGTGAAGTAAAATACAGTAGTCACATTAATTGCACTAGTTTCACCTTACTCTGTGGTAAAGGCTGCTACTAGAAATGTCCCATTATTCACACGATTTGCATCTTCTTTCTAGAATTCTTTGGATTAAACAGGTGAGAAGGCAGGTATAGAGAATACGAGGTTATTGTTTTAGATACTTTGTTAAAAAGGCAAGCTGTGCTCTTTCCTGTAAGAAAGTAAGAGGGCGAGGGCCTTGTTTTAACAGTCATAAACAAACAAACAAAAATGTTCAATTAAGTTGTAAGGATAAAAATGTGAGCACCTCTCAATGAAGACATGAAGCCCTTAAAAATCACTCATGCCCACAACAATGAGGAGACAACGGACCGAGGGTTGCCAATGAGCGAACCGAGCACAGTTCAAGGCTACGTCTCAGGCTCTTGCTTAACCACAAACACGTGCTCATGGTCCACGTGCGCTACGACAGGAGACATGTTCCACAAAACAGAACACACTAAGGGAGTGAAACTTGACATCTGACTGTCGGAAACGCTAATCGGCTGAGTTCAGTTCTGCAGAATTCCCTGGTAGCTATCGCTTACATCCCCACAAGGGCTTCAGACTCCGATGTCACTCGAATATAGACTGTGACAACGGTCCCCACTCCGACCCCTTTACTAGTGACAGCCCAGGAGAGACGTGGCGGTGTTTCCAGGGCGACTTTTAGCTTCGTCCTGTCTACACTATATCCTGGCTGGGTCAAAAGATTGCTAGAAGTCAAGATGATCTCAAAATTTCAAGTCATAATTGGTTTGACTCATGCTTTGTGCAAATTTCATATGCAATTTTTTGCTTTGAGGGAACCTTCCCATCAGGAAAATCAGGATTAAGAATTTTTCTAGGACAGAGGTCGGCAAACCTTCTGTAAAAGGCTAGACAGTAAATATTTCAGACTCTGTGGGTCAGTCTTCTGTTGCAAGTCTCGATTATCTTGTTCCAGTTCAAAAACAGCTTTAAACATTATGTCTAAAAACAAGCAGGGCTATATTTCAATGAAACTTTACCTATAAGAACAGGGGGCAGGCAGGAATTGACCTGTGAATCCTACTTTGTCACACCTTGTTCTAGGATATCAAAGATGATCAGCCTTAAGAGCAATGACCACTTCTTGTCTAACTCACATTAGAAACTAAGAATAAAACACAGTGCGCCAGGATTGAGTCAAACCCATGCTAAATGCTTGACACACATTTTCTTTTCTTTCTTTTAAAAATTTAATCAACGTACAACCCTATCACAATCCATACTTCCATCCACTGTGTCAAGCACATTTGTACGTTTGTTGCCATCATCATTCTTAAACATTTGCTTTCTGCTTGAGCCCTTGGTATCAGCTCAGTTTTTCCCCTCCCTCCCCACTCCCGACACACATTTTCTTATTCACCCTTTGCAATGCCTTCTCTTGGAGGCAGGGACGAGAAGACAAAGCGAGGAGACAGATTTGGTAACCGATCCACAAGTCTAGTAGTGCCAGCCAGCAGTGAGGCAGTATCAGATCTAGCTCTGCTTCACCCAGAGCGGGCACCCTTACCCATCGTTAATTACACGGTTACACTGTGTGCAGAATCACACGAGCCACTCTGCACAAAACCCACGTCTCAAAAAGCAGGACCCCACCACACCACACCACACCACACCACAGCGCTTTCACACGGACACCTCCATTTCCGTCTCCATAGGTTGGAATTTAGAAACAGGTGGGTAGGGCATCGGAAGACTGGTTCAAGAGGCAAGGTGAGGAAAACGACCTCTGCAGAGCACTTGAAGGAAAGTGCACACAGACACGGCCGTGAGGGCTGCAGCACAGACTGAGGTCCGGTGGAAGGCTACCTGTCTCCATTGGCACGCCATCTTCCTCCTTCTCTTCCTCCGCCTTACTCGCCGCTGCGTGCTCCTCCTCGGGGACGGCGCTGCTCTGGCTGCGCTCCGCCTGCTCTGCTGCCTCTTTCTCCCTCTCCTCCTGCCGCTTGCGGGCCTGCTCCTCTGCCTGCGCGATCTCGGCCGCAATTTTCTCCATGTCCACTTCTACCTTCAGGCCGCACAGCTGGAGTCAGACAAAACAACCCGCTGGTGAGTTTAGCATCTTTGGACCAGAGAAACGGTGCCAAAAATGGTGTTTCTTGCCTACAAAATATGCACATAGGCATACAGGTGTGTGTGTGTGTCTACAAATGAGTGAGGAAACGTGGCTCTGTCTCCTCTGAAGCCCTGGTGTCTGAGTGTCAGCGTGACAGGAAGAGCAGCTGCGAGTGGTCCTGCAGCCACGACATAACATCAACTATTAGTTACCCTGCTTCCCTGAAACTAGGACAGCATCTGATATTAACTTTTGCTCCCAAAGATGCGCTAGGTCTTATTTTCAGGGATGTCTTATTTTTCCATGAAGAATACAGTACACAATAATTATTTTATTAAGAGACCTTGCACTTCCTGTCTGCTCCAGCTGTGCTGTGGCCAACAGTGAGCTGCACGGTGGTGCCCGCCGCTTCAGTCCAGAGTCCAGAGTTACGGTAGCTTTGGGGGGGGGGCGGCTTATTTTGGGGGGGATACCTTATATTTCAGTGAGAGGCAAAACTATATGTAGGTCTTACTTTCGGGGAAACGGTAATGATGCAATGTTGAAAATACTGAACTACATGATGGGGCTTTATTTTTTAAATCATTTTATTGGGGGCTCTTACAGCATTCCAGACATCAATTATATCATGCATATTTGTACATTAATTGCCATCACTTCTAAAACATTTTCTACTTCAGCCCTTGGTATCAGCTCTTTATTCCCCTCTCTCCCCCACCCTTGTG